GTGATTCGAACCCACACCCCTTGCATCACAAATCATTATGCCGTAACCGCTTGACTACTGCAATTCACACAAATTGATGGTGTTTTTACTGTTGATATAACGATGAACGGCTGCAACGTAAGTCTAATACACATTGGACATGCGCAATACAAACACAACCATCGTGGTTTGCTTCACACGTATGGTTGCATATATATCTCATATTTGTGATCAAGGTAACCACTGTTACCTGTAACAGTGGTTACCTTAATCACACATTCTGTTCCATGTCAAGACATGTAATACACGGACTGAGCGATAAGATACTACATGTACCAGTGGGCTCTTCCAAAACTTTGGCAGCAGTTTAGTTATCTTGACATGGAACAGCCGTCGAGACGATGAGGGGTCAAGTGACGTATGCTCAACGACTTTATTTTAAAGTTAGCAGCTGGGAGAGCGAGCCTGTTAGATTGAATGGATAAAGGCAAAAAGACTGGAAAATACCTGAATAACGTGAGTGAAATCATTCAATAAATGGTTTTTAGAAAGCGAAAAGGTCAAGAATCATGTTCGTGTGCAAAAGAAATTGTGCCCACGATGATAAGTGGGTGCGCCGGAATGTTCAATACGCCGACACGAAATTGAGTAGACGGATGTGTGCCTTCGGATATATCTGGAGTGATCCGTGCCACACTAGTGGGGCTTGGCTAATTGAAGGCATTTATCGTCACGAATTTCATTATCAAATCGGACTCGACTCTGTCGGTAGTCTCTTAAACCACGTCATCAAGTTTAATTTTTCCTCTTCTGGCAGCAAACGGCAACAGATAACTTGAATTTTCTTCGTTAACAGGGAAGAAATACACATTTTTGAGGCGGTCACAGAAGGTACAGCCTGTTGAAGGCAGTGCAGTTTTTTAAGCTATTATCCATCCAGCATGGCTTCGCTGCGCAGCTTGACGGATGATATAGATCTCTATCACCAGGCCTTTGCTATCTTCCATCGGATCGCCGACCGGGATAACATTATGGCCAGTTGGGTTGACTCTAAATTGAGTGAGATATTCAGCGGTTGGAGCGTCAGCCTGAACGGCCAGGATCCGTTGAAAGTTCTCAGCATCGGACCAGGAAAAGGTAATGAAGGGATACGAAGCTACACCAAAATCAACACAATTCCCTTTAATGTGTAAAAGCTCCACTTTTGAGGCACGGCAAAATACCTTGAATGAGGACAAGATCTGGACCTACAGTGATTTAATCAGGGCAACGACCTTCCCGTGTCCAATATTCACTCTATACATGTATCTGCAATCAGTTGGGGATGGCGATCAACAAGAGGACAAGAGGGTCCACAGTTGGGTCAGGGTACACAGTTTGGTGAGGGCCAATGACACGCCAAGGGGGGGCGTTACGCCCTCCCCCATGTTTTTCGTTTGGTTTTTGCTTTACAATCTACTCCATCTTAAACTACTAGTTGTGATCTAGGCCTTAAACCCCAATCCCATGCAGTGCAATGGTGCCGTGGCTTTGAGCATCATAAGCTATTGTGGGGAAAAATTCAAGCCTGGCGGGTCCACGGGTAAATGAGGGTCCACAGTTGAGCAGGAGTCCACAGTTGGGTGAGGGTCTACAGTTGGAAGATCATGCAAACATTCTACGGGAACCCTTCTAAAAACTTCATGTGAATAACGGAAGATCCATGACAGAAAGGGCCTGAAACACATTGGTTCTGGTCAGTGCAACATTAAGGGGACATTTTCTTTTTTTTAGAAAACTTTGGACTAGTTTGTGCAGACTTTGAAGTGTCCCCATAACTGCTGCTCAAACTGTACAGTCCCTGCAACTACGACACTAGAATGTACACTTGTACGTGGTAAATACATGACACATTGGGAACCACAAAAAATAACAGGATTGATTGCAGTAATTTTATGTCAGAACATTAGACGTTTAACAGTGTGCTATTGAAAGGAAGGTTGAAATAACTACACGACAGGGAAGAAATGCCTTTAAAACTTTAATGCCTTTAAAACTTTTATTTACAAAAATTAGTAAATTTAATTTACCACCAAATGGAGGTTTTGGTTTTGTTGGGAATACAGGTGATATTGAAAGCAGGATTATTAGAATTCTCCGCAGCTGCAGACAGCCCCATCATATCGTCCATGCGACCATCGTAGAGCCCGCTGCTGAGATGGTGAACAAGTACAAGGAGCATGTTGCTGATCAAGCATCGGAGCTGCCAAACGTGGCTTACGACTGGAGGGTGCAGACCCTGGAAGACTTCCAAGCCACGCCCACCAACCACGATGCGAGGTTCCATTTCATCAGTAGCGTGCATTCTATCTACTACGTACCGGACCTCAAGACATCTCTCAAGGATCTGTACGACCGGTTGGAACCAGGAGGGATAATGCTGATTGTAGTAGTGTCAGGTATGGTCTCAAGACAACCAAAAAACGTAAGAGGCGTTACTCTGCATCACATTACTATAGTAGCACTTTATTAAACTCAGGAATGCGGGGAAATTTCAACAGGAGAAAGGGTAATTAATTCTTCTTTTTATATTATTAAAGATGACTCTGGTATGGGCCAGCTGTGGAAGAGCGATCTACAGATGCATAAAACAAAGGACCAGCACCCAACATCCTCTGACATCCAGGTAGCGTGTGCCAGTCAGGGCATCCCTGTGGCCCAGGAGCTTCGAATCAAGGTGCGCTCCAACATCACCTTCTGCCTGGGAGAGCCAGAGAAGCTTTCAACGGACGGCCGGCTGCTGCTAGACTTCTTTACCCACACGGCCCACTTTGTCAGGGATGCCCCTCCTGATCTTCAGCGTGACGTCCGGGAGTGTCTGGCGAGTGCCAAGTGCTCCGAGAAAGGAGAAGAGGGTGAGGTCATCTTTAGAGGAGACTGGAAGGCTTTCATTATCAAAAAATGAAGCTGGTAGACAAACAACCTTCTCTAGAAAGCTGTAGTCATAGAACAGTTTCGAAGTTTATAATAATAATAATAATAGTAACTTTTGTATAACCACATGTAATCATGATTCTTGAATATATTATCAGTCCTAGATCAGACTGGATGCTGAATTCACGGCAAATGTAACCTTTTAGCCAATGGATAATTCAGCACCTTCAATAAAATCTTGGCATCGGTTAAGCCCGCTTTTGATTCTAGACAACGAGAAAAAGAACGCTCAGGAAAGTCATCCTGTTGTATACCAAATCGTATGCTGCAATTCTCAACTAAAATTAAGCACTAAAATTAAACCATTAAAGTGTCTCAATGAGAATTGGAAAATTGCAAGGTTTTATTGCATGGTTTTATTTTGTTTGTAAAATATGCTCCTCTATTCTTAGCTCCAACCCTCTCTAGTTTTGGACACTTTCAAGAGGGCCTATAGTGTTCAACCATGTTTCTGCAGCTAAATAAACCTGAATTAAAATTCTGTAACACACATTTTTCAATGAGAGCGGGTTCATAATAGCTGGAGTTTGTCATGTACTTTCTTTGCCTTTTTGGTACAAATTCAAAGGTGTGATCTAAGAATTGAGGTATTCGATTTAATGTTTGTTGAAAGTGCTGAAGGTCAGAGGAAATTTTCCCATTGCAAAAAGAAAATAAAAAGTCCTCAGGAAAGATGAAGCGAAACTCATTTTATTTCTTCATTGTAAATATAAACACCGAACCCGTAGGTGATATAATTAAGATGAACATAAGCATTTTTTATAATAGAAATTTAAGTCCAACTCGGGTTCCAATTATAATAAAGCTGAAACAGTTTTGCTGTTCCAGTTAAACAAGTTACATGTTTAAAAAGTTCTGGCGACTGGGGTCAACATCCTCCTAGCAACAAGACAGATGTATTTTTGGGGTTTTTTTTGGGGGGGGGGAAGCACAAGACTCAAGGATTATCATTCCAAGTCTGAAGACATTTTGTAGTCACATCTCCAAATAAGCAATCTGTGCCTGTGTGTGTTTCATTTTGACATCAAGGATATGCCCGTCAAATCACACCGCTGGGGCATGAAACTTGCGCAAGTTGAAACTGCTAATACGCGACTGCTTAAAAACAATAAATTCTGAAGGCAAAATCTCAGTAACAACTTTACAATACTAAGTCCAACTGTCAGAAAGAGGTTTCAGTTGCTGGAATCAGATGGTGACAATACATCTTCAAACAATTCATTTACAAGTTAAAATGTTTTGATGTCGTAACCGAACAATCACCTTACTGTCAACTCAGTGTATTCTCCTTAAAAGTGGAGTCCCACATTTGCAAGTGTCCACAAAGTAACTGATGATATTGTTGAATATCACACTTGGTTTAACCCTAACACTCCTCAGTCCTCCAACAGGTGAAGGATTGAGGAGGGTCAGGTTTAAAGATGGTTATGGAACGACATGTACCCTGTGAATTATTCTTTCTGGCAAACTGAAAGCAATAAAAGACCATTACCAACAATGTGCCTTAAGCTGCTTTTATGGAGATGACCATCAGTAGTTCATTTTTAAGTCTAAGGGCACACAAGCAAGCGTTGACACGATGCACTGATTTGTTGATTCAATGCGCAACATGGCGTAGCTGCAATCGGCTGCATAACAGCATGTCCCTGCATGCTGAATTTGTACACAAAACATGACTCCAACTCTTGATTTGAAATCAAGATTTTGGAATATTGTTTTTATCAGAATATGCAGCATTCACTGCAGTCCAGCATCGTAAGGTTACTTTATACGAAGCACTCTGCAGATCAGGAGCACTTCTCTCACTCAAAGTAACATAACGCACAAAATGATGGACTGTACTTTTGAACTCCATCATATCAAAACATGAATCTGACCGATCATAAATTTTACATTTGTTGATGTGGGTTCATCAAGAAATGTGGTAATGATCTTACCATCTACCTATGAACAATCCACTCCTCACATGCTGTCAGGGAGTACTTTCTCCTGGAAGAACTCTGTCAAGTTGGCCTGCTCCAGGTCTAGCTTCAGGAAGGATTCAGCAATGTTCTGGCACTTCTGCAGCCGGCCATCAACATTGGCCGAGTCCACGCGATGGATTGGTTTGCACTGGGCAAGTAGGTCAGTCACCTAGCCAGGACACAACCCAATGATCTAAGCTATGAGCTTGCCTGAAAAAGAGATAACTTCTCTCTATCTCAAACAATCTCCCAACTGTTTTCCCAATTCCTCACATCTGGCCGAGCACTAACAATTCATTTTGCATATCTGCAGTGCATCTGTATGGGTGCTGGGGGTGCATTATGACAAAAACAGGGTTCCCATAGAAATCTTAAATGTGAATTCCAAGACTTTTCCAGGACTTTACAGGATTCAAATATTACAATTTCCATGACATTTTAAATACGTTTTCCAAACAGCATATTGATTGGGTTTTCAGTCCCTGCCTAACTCAGTGGGATTCCCCTGGAATACTCTTTCTCTAGAACTGAACCTTTTTTTCATTGTTTTCATAATTATCACTTCATCCTGTAATTGGCAATTAACATAATATATAACATATATAATATAAATAAATAAAGTAAGAAACAGTTATGTCTTCTTCTCGATTTAGCTCATTGGTCAGGTCAATGGTTTGACTTACCCGGTTGCCTCGCTTCAACAGCTCGTCTGGTAAGCCAGCCTGGGCCGATATGTGACTAGCATAGCTAAGCTCAGTGTGGCCTTCGATTAGCTGGTACAAGAATACCATCTCATCTCCACTGTGTAGAACCTCCATGGTCTACGATGAGCAACGAGAAACACAAATCAATGAACATCACTGATATTCAGTCTTGTACCATAATGAACTTGGAACAAAACTCACATCTCTACACTTTATATTGTGAACACGGGGCCTGTTTGTTTCACATGGATCTGGATCTTGATCAGTGATCCTAACGTTGGTTCCTACCATCCATTAGGCGGGTTTGGGTGTCCGTAAACCAATATGTGTTACTGCTCATGTTCCAGATCTGTGTGAAACAAATGCAGCCTTGGGCCATCCATTTACAATTATGGAGTACACTACAGGTCCAGTTCCAAATGCATCATTCACGGCTTGTTCCAGACAACTTCTAGGCATCATTCCTTTCCTACCTGGTAGGTAAGCTCCTGAGACGAAGGCAGCATCTTCTGTTTGATGATGCTATGGAAATGTGAAGAGACCAAGACGTGAGGACAGAGGGTTTCTCTGGCCAGCCAGTGTTTCAGGCAGGCACACAGCAGTGCAACGCCGTCAACAGTCTCTGTCCCTTTGCCAAACTCGTCTATGATGACTAGTGAATTCTGTGTGGCATTATTTAGAGCCACTGCCATCTGGAAGACACCAATTCAAGACAAACAATTCCCAAGTGAGATGCAATTTTGAACACAGAATAGACAAACGTCGTCTTGAAAACCATGGACTGATGTTTTACCCAGAACTACAACCCCTCTACAGAGAACAACATGATAGTTTTTAAGAGCAATGTCAGTTCAATATGAATTCATTAATTCCAAAATTTCAGTTTTTCCACAAATAATACATTTGGAATGTCAGGACACTGATTAAATTCTAGATATCAATTAACTGCACAGTCCAAGCCAAAGTTGACAGGACTTCCAAAGGCCAGGTAAAATTAAGTTCTTCGAAAACAGAACTAAGTTGAGCCTGAGCCCTTGCCAGAATTGCTTTGATTTTTTTCCAACAGTCAAAGACATAAAAATCATACGCTGCTAGACTCCGAAGTGAGTCTAACATCTAAATACCTGATTTAAAAGGTTGCTTCCTAATAATATTCATCTTCACAAAACAATTTTGTGAGGCCTCATCACAAAATGTCACTGATCAATATCTGACCTGGTTGATATCGATCATGAACGTTGAGAGTCCGACGGACACAGACTCCAGTGTGTGTACTCTGGTGTAGATACCGTCCAGCATGCCAATGGTGGCACCCTCGGCTGGCACAAAACTGCCAATGTGACTCATAAAAGCAATCAAGCCAACCTAATCATTGGTAACAAGAATGAAAGGCCGGTGAAAAGACATTTAGGTATGTTTCCATCAAGTTCCAATAAAACGTAATTGACACTGACTGTTGATCTTGGAATCTTACACTCATAGAGTGTAAATTTGAATATTAATTTTTGCCTTCTCCTGGTCAAATTTCATAATATTGGGACTACACAGTGACAACAATAAATAAATTGATATCAGAGGGCACAAGAGTACCCCTGCCTGTGAGTGGCCATGCTCAGGTTTGCTCCTTTGATACACAGGTGCTACAGGACTCTGCCCATCTCAGTTCTAATAATCTAAACTTTTCTATGACAAACACAGTGAAATGAACACCATCAGGTAATTAAAGTGTGCATGGTGCATCACGTGGTTTATCATTCTTACCCCTGCTTCTTGGACTTAGAAAAGCTTTCCTTAAAAACCGTAAAAACATACCGCTGGGGTATCCAACCTTTCCCGCTGTTAGATGCAGCGGGTCAAATCAAACACAGCAACCACCGCATCCCGAATGAGCGTCATCGAAGGTGACCATTTAAAGCCAGGTGAAGTGAAGCAGTTTGGAACAGGGTGTCTTTCCTCTGGTCACAACTCCACAGGTTGGATTCAAACCCAAGACCCATTACCAAGTCACCCCACTCCGAAGCACAAACCTGTTTGAGGTAGACACTCTTCCCACTGGCGTTGGGTCCAGTCAGGAACTTCATCTTGCCGTACTTGTCCCCCGAGAAGGTATCGTTGGGCACAAAGGGCGTAACACACAGCTCCTGTAGTGGGTGTCGGCCCCCGGAGATGTGAATGATATTGTCCTCCGTCAGATCTGGCCGGATGTAGTTCTGATCTCTGGCTGCAGCTGCCAAGGATAGCAGGCTGGAAACAGACGAGGGCGGGAGTAAACAATCAGTAGGAGTATGAATGGCTCAGGTCAACTTGGCCAAGTTCTACATTTCAGCTTTGTCTCCAGCTCAACTCCATTCCGAGTTCCAGAACTACTCCTCATATGATCCCTGAATCCAGGGAAAATCCTCACTTAAGTTAAATTTGACACATATTCTGTTGTTTTTGGCCTTGGGAGTAGATTCAATAGCTCAAAAACTTACCAGTCCAGCTCAGCAGCATACTGCATGACGGTGAAGAGCACCTGGGATCTCTCCAGAATGGAATTCTGCAGCTTGTGCATGATCTGGGTTTCTAGATCTGCCATGAAAAACAGAATGTAACTGAAAAGTGAAAGAACCTTGGATCGTTGTGGAAGAGAGCTCTGCAATATGTGCATAACCTGGGGGCTTTCAACCTGCAGAAAGACACAGAATATGAACAGAAAGCACAACTCTGGATGGTTCCGATTTCATACCTGTTCTTACCTGTTATTTCACACTGTGTGTCCCCAAGCTTCACATCCAGTGCTGAAAAACCAAAACAGGTCAACGGAAGTTTCTGTGAGTTTTAAATCCAAACTCAAACCTTGAGGAATGTTTTGTTACTTTCGTGGCACCAACGGTGTCTGGTAATAATGTGGATCATTTTGAGCACTGCTTTCTCCAAGACATGATGTGCTAGATCAGTTCAACATAACACTAGCCAATACTAGTGCAAACAAACACCGTACTTTCACATCAGGTTTCTCGTTGATGTGCGCTTTCAAATGTAGCCAAGGTGAAGAAAATAACAATAATTAATGCCCCAGTAGATCATCCATCTCAGGCAACTATAAAATACACCATATGCATATATTCTGTGGGCTCACATTGTTCCCGTCCATGGAATTGCTGACCCAGGGTCAAGTCTATCCAATGGGAGCAAAAGGAAAATTAGGGTGACAGGGTCGCTTCGATAGGGCAGTTGACATGAAGAAAATTAAAAAAAGGACAATAATGTCTAATGCAGAGTCGCAGTCAAAAGTTCCATATTAGCAAGCCTTTATTTGTGATTGTCACAAACCCATAAATAAAAACGATAGAGTTTTATAAATCACTTGTACCTTTTGTCCTGGCACTCTTGTAGTGAACCATGTTATTTGAGAGGAACTACAATAAAGTCAATGAAAATAGAAACGATAGCCATTAGCATCATCAATCCCTATCACCACAGCATTTTTGGCGCATGCCAAAAAAGAGTAATGTAGAAACAGGGGAGTCTGCTCGATATGGTGGCTCTTTCCTCACCTTCCACCTCTGCGATCCGGGTTTGATTCCCACCTATGTCAGCATGTGGACTGGGTTTTCAGTCCCTGCCTGATTCTGTGGGTTTTCCCTGGAATACTTCTCCGGGGTTTTCCTCCCACCTCTAAAACCAAACGTTTCTTCGTTGTGTGTTTAATTGTTACTTTATCCTGTAATTGGTGCTAAATGCGCTGTTGGATGACCAGAATATAACAAAAGAAATAAATAAATCCAAGATTTATACATGTTCATAATTATTTGAGAATGTGCAGAACATCTCACCACAAACTCAAGGCCAGGTATGTTGAAATCCTTCTCCTTCTGCATACGAGGTGTGCATGGAATTGCCAGAAGATACCCCAACTGCAAGGGAAAAAAATGGATAAACTAAAGTAGTTTATAAAGAAAACAACCAACTTTTGCTTTAAAGATTTCCAACTCTATCTTAGATCAGACAGGCAAATTCAACATTTATGAAGATTAATCAGTATTTTCAATATTGGTGCATTGTACACCCGGTGAGCTGGCATTAAAGAGGGATGTAGTAGACTCAAGCACTCCTGCAGTTTGAAGGAGGACGTAAACAGCCTTGAATGGGGATGCGGGAGGGGGGGCTATGTGATGAGTGTCTAGGGGCCGTAACCAGATCCTTGGCTGCGTCTCATTCACCTGTGGGAGGTAGATGACGTTGCACTCTTCTACATCCCTGCTGAGTCTGTTCAGCTCATCCCTGGCCACCTGAGTCATTAGATCTGGCAGGCCGTTGTAGGTGCGCTTCCCTGCGATATCAAATCAAAGGATGAGAGGTGGCCTTATCAACTTGCAGCCGAAACTACCCGTCATTTAAAGGCCCCAATTTTCTGAAGCTGCTCAGCATCAGCAGAGAAACTCCTCAACAAATTTACATATGTAACTCCCTCTTTCATGACTAGACTCCTGCAGTTCACTCCTCCATCACGTCTTTAAATCTTGCCAGCAAGTAAGCAAGAAGTCAGACAGCAAGGTGGTAATGGACTGTCAAGAAATAAGGCCAAGCAATTCATTAGAGCAGAAAATCACTCCCAGTCTGAATGCTTGTGCATCGTGAGGCTCTCTTGGTAACTTTCCGGCATGTTCACCAAGCAGTCATTCCACATCCTTTACAGATGTTTCTGTCAGGACATTTGACAAACAGCCAATTCTATGTACTGGTCTAAGAGGTAGTGAGTTATTTCTGGTGAGGCATAAAGTGTGTAAGAAGAACTCACTGTGATCCAAATCAGCGTCTACATTTGCTTTGACGACGAAGCGATTCTGGGCAGTCGATTCATCAAAATCTACCTAGAGTCACAGAAACGACAGTCGAAACCAGTGTAACCTTTCTAGCACTTTAGATACCATGAGCTTGAATTCTGTACAAAGAAAATTCAGTAACCTGTTCAAGTCCTGAATGGGGAACAATCAAGTCTAAGCCTATTAATAGGTCACTGAATCTAGTAACTGGAAATAAAACTTGGTGTGACATTGGTCTGGCAGGTGGGATGGTGTGTGGGAGGGGTGTTTTGGGTGCAGGTAGTTATCAGCCTGTGTCAGCCTCACTCCTGGGTGGGGGACAGGGGGAGATGAAAGACCCACTAGTGTGGGGCTTTGGACAGGTGACCTGTCGGATTGGGTCAGGCTGCACCCAACGGAGACAAAAACTCCTGTGCTGGCACTCTGTATTGCTTAAGGAAATTTAAGGGCAATTTTAGTAACACAGAAAAAGTTGGTACTTTTAATGCTCACGACATTTATAGGAAGGGGCAAAAGTGTAGTGGAGATTTACTTTTAAGGAAATTCTGGGCTCTTCCCAAATGAGCTGAGAGCGGGGACTGGTTTATGAGGAGTTGGGGTGAGGGGATGACAGTGGCAGATGTACGGGCAGGTTAAATTGCACTTTGAAAAAACTAGCATTTGTGTGTTAAATACATTGAAGCAGAATAACTGACTGTGATATACCGGTACCCATCCTTATTAATTCCGGTCTAAAACGTGAAGTCATGAAATAATTATAGGTACTTACAATCCTGTTGATGATACTGGCAATGTAATGCAGATCTTCAGTAAAGCCTCTTGCAATCTGAAAATGTTATCAATAACCATTGTTTGTCCAAATTATCAGCCTTGTTTTTTGGTTTAAATTAATCAACTTCAAAATTGACTTGAATATGTCATATACTATTACTAGTGGACGAGCAAAATGCAACGTTATGTGCATTAGTACGCTGACAATGTGAACAACCTTTTTACCAAAATCAGACAAAACAAAAGCTCAATAAAAATGATCTGCTTAATAAAGCAGTCTACTTGTCATTATAATAGCATATTTAAGTTAAGATAATAATAATGCTAATGATTTGTGAATGCGCACACATCTGCAGCAAACTTTTGAGACAAACAAATCATGGAAAGTAATACAAACAATCAAAATGAGTCCTTGACAACCTTGTGTCGTTAGAAGGGTTTTGAGAAATGATTTAAATTTTGAAGTACAAGGGCAAGATCTAAGGTGAAGCGGTAGGGAGTTCCAGATGTGTGGAGCTGCCACAGAAAAAGACCTGTCACCCCAGGAGTGCTGAGACTTACGAGTAGATAGCTTTTTGACGTTACAGTCAATGTTTATTTCATTCCTCAGAAATACATTTCAGTACATGTAATACGGGCGATTCACAATAGTGCGCCACCAAGAGTTTGCAACGCGTTGGCTAATCATACCGTGCGAAATTTGTCGACCTTTCCAAACGCGCATTGGGTCAACAAATTTCGCGCATTGTGATTGGGCAACGTGTTGCAAACTCTTGGTGGCGCACTTCTGAGACACGGCCGTATTGGGAAAAGGCCAGCATGTACCTTCTTGAATATTTCAATGTCAGCTCGCTGTGCCCGGCAAATATCTCCAATGTTGATGGCACTGTAGGCAGTCTGAGACAAATCAAAATAGTACAGATTGATAGGAATACGAGATATTACCGAGGGGAGGCTACAAGGCCACTGCTGCAATGGACTGAATGTTGTGGCTGTGGCTATAACTAACATGGGTGCCATTCAGCTCCTGTAACGGCTTGCAACCACTTCCCATTGACCTGTGTGCTAGTTGCAGCTACAACCAGCTGGTCTGGACAGACCCAGACTCAAGCCCATTTTTTTCACAAGAATGCTTGTGTTTTGTGCTCATTCTGTTGGAAATCAGTCACATGCACTCTGCCATTTGCTATTTTTACTCATGCTACTGAAATCTGGTCACAAGCACACTGCCATTTGTGCTCATTCCACTGCAAGCTGGTCACGAGCACTAGGCCATTTGTGCTCATTCTGATAAACACTATACATATGAAATGATAACGTGCTAGACTGAACTAAACTTTATTAAACCATAACATGGCTGTTATGATATTCTAACCTTGTACAGAGCCTGCCAATCATTCACTGATGCCTGGGCTTGCCTCATCTGCTTCAAAATCCTCTGCAGTTACAAAAAACCATGATGATGCAGATCAAACTGACTAGAACAAATGGCCCACACTGAAATTTGTGCAGCATAATCATTCCTCAGTAATTTGATATAAATATAAATTATCATTTTTAAACTGAACAGAGATATTATAAATGGGGCGTATTTTAAGGAGCTGTTAGACAGGGTACGAAAATTCAGCAAGATACTTAAAAAACAAGGTATCAGCCAAAAGTGGCAAGTTTAGATTGTTTGGAGTTGGTTCCAATTTTTATTTTGCACAAAAACCTGTGTTTTGAAGTTTGATCCACAGTTTCACAATCTTGGAGAGTAGTTCTTATTGTGTTGGAGTTCTTGTGTGTCTGTGCTTGGGGGAGCCAGAGAAAAAGTTCTGGTCTACAGTGGTCTCTTAAAATGACATTCATCACGTAGGCCCCTGATGGCAGACTTACGGCAACATTCTTGACGTGTTTCAGGTATTCCTGCAGGGAGGTCGTGACCTCGATGTTGGCCGATGCCATGAAGAACGCAACAGCATCCTGCCTCTGGTTCAGAAGAGCTAGGTCGCAGGACGGCCGCATGAACCAAACCCTACACAAAGATGAGATGTGTCTGGTTATTATCAGTGCTACACACCAGGTACAAACAAAATTAGAGTGAGCAAAACTCCCTCAGACACCTGTTATACACAAACCTGTTCAACGGTGTATACACAGAATGTGCAGAACTAAAACAATCGGCACCTCATCTGATGTTCACTCTCTGACAGCCTTCACTATACTGACAGACTCGAGTGGACACCCACTGCCTCACGCCCCAGGCCCAACGCACATACTGGTATTTTGCAACCAGTGCAACAGGCCTCAATGAGCTAATCCTCTGCACAGAATCCCCAGCCAACCTATATAAACTATTCTCCAGCCACAATCCTGCATTCTCCTGAGGACAGAGCAAGCTGTTTGAAACGTCGAGTCCCCCCTCCCCCCGGTTCTTTTCAGAGCCCCACCTGCTCACGGAAGAGATAGATCACATGGTGTCTCCACAAACCACATCACTATTGCTATCTTCACCTTGCAAACCTTCAAATCTTACTTAAAACAACCTAAAGCCACAAGAAATTCAAATGAAAATCAAAACTTTCATAAAAACTCAAAAGTTGAACCCTGAAAGTCTAAAAGTATTTTCCAAACAAAGAAAGAAATTGAATCAGCGACTAAAAGAAATTAAAAAAATGGTCAACATGAATTAAGGTTGCAGGTTGTTTTAAAAAAACTGAAGTCAAAGTGAAAGCGGTTGAGAAAAGCAACAAATAATCATAACTAGTGAGAACTTTGTACAATTTGTACAACTTTGAACAATTAAACTAAACACGGCACTTTATTATATCAAAAATATTGGCATTACATGTGTATTTCCTCATCAGATAACAAAACACTGTGTTGAAAATTTTAATAGGAGAAACAAATTTACAACAAAATAACCGGAACTTCTTTGGCAAACTCTTCAACTTGTTGAACTTTATCCCTACCTCATAAGCCTACTGCCTACAACCGACTTGGTCTTATTCAAGATACCTACAATATAGGATATAACGAAGTTGGATGAAAATACTGGGATTGGATACTCTGTTAGTGTTATGCCGTCTGGCTGTTAGCAGGCTTAACAGGTGTCAAGTATCAGCTAGCAAGAATCTTTTTGTTTGCATTTCTCCTTTACTGTGTTTCAAAACAAGTTTCAAACACATTTAAAACAATGCAGCATAAACTCAAACATAAAGTTTCACCGAGTGGCAAGGTTTAATCTATGTGGAAGAACATCATGTGGGGTCTTTACTCTAGACTGCGAATGTGTTCCTGCTTAAGAAAGAATGTTTATGGTCACCCAAGTTATTTTTATGGGTCACTTCTTTGGAAGACAAGGACCAGATTTCTAGTTTATTTCCATTTGACCCTAACTGTGCTTAAAAACGACCAAGATTTCATGACATTAAAATTTCATCTCGAGGGTTCAGGCTACTGGAGTTATGGCCAGAAATCCAAGACAGAAACTAAGACATCCCTTAAGGACTACCACCAGCAGTGAGAACCCTTGACGTGAAGGAAAAGATACTCACCAAAGAGACTCAACCCCTCCTTGGCCCCACTGCCCCCAGACTTGTAGGCTGAGGGATGCCGTTCCTTCTGGAAGATCTGCAGAGCGCTGTAGGTATTCTCATCCACTGATACCATGCGCTCCCTGCAGTGACCAGGATGAGGAGGACAGCGGGTCATGAACTGGATTAGGCAAATATCTCGTGCTTGAAGCACGAGGCAAAACTCTGGGAGGAGCAGGGTTTTAAAGATTAAGTTCATTGCTTGAATCGTTGAGCTCCCACATTATTAACGCATAACTTAATTAGTGAGTCAATGATCAATTCTGACCAAACTGTGAGCAGTTGTTGAGTCCTTCTCCCGAAGTCTCCAATTGTCAAAGCATTGGTTGACCGGGTACCTTATGTGTTTGTGCATGAGGCTTGGTTTAGGTATGTCAGAAAATAATTGCAAGCAAAAAAGTATAGACTCCAACTCCAGTCAATATCTGTCTGCAAAAGCATACACGGGAGTTTGACCGTATTTTCTGTCCACAAACTCAGAGTCTTGTTCTCCATTATCAAATGCTAACACATCCAGATCATGTTTGTTTTTTCAGGCTTTATTCCTACAATACCTTCTTCGTTTTGTATAACGATCATCTCAAAAAATGAAGAAGATGGAGAAGCACCACGATATAAAGTTTGCGAGCTGGTGTGGTGCTGAAAGAGGACAAAAAACTTTGATTGGTTTTGGACTAGAGCACTAAAATTCAACCGGTGAAGGGGATGAAGAAAGTGCAACATGCTTTCTCTTACAATGAGAACATCCTAAGAGAGAGGACGGGTACACGTACGTCGTAGCCTTCCAACTCCACTCCCACTCGCTTCTTCTCCAGGTACTTCAATAAGCCGCCCACAGCACGCACCTGGATGGTGAGACAATAGCCCTTAGGCTGTGCCGGAGTCAAGTGGTTGCAGGTAGGAGTAACACCTGTGTCTATGGATAGTTCTGTAGCTACATGTACAGCTGCCAACCATTGCTTTCCATAAGCTCAAGTGCTATTGTCAGCCGCAGCCGTAACATTCAAGCCATGTACAAATTACCTGGCTATGGCTGGAACAGCACATGAACCTACATGTATGGGAAATGCATGGAGTCGGGAGCTGGCAGCTTCCACAGGTGTGTGTCTTAATTCTAGCCAAAGTCAAGTGAATCTGACAAGGCCTCAGACACCCTAATTCTGTAAGATTTACAATTTATTCATTGCTGCATTCCAGGACAAGACAGTGTACCCCAGGAGTGGTGGACTGCAGTCAGGTAGCCCAGTTGTTTAATAAATACTGTAACCTAACATGATACTCATCTTTTTTGAGTGCCAAAAGTTCCTGCTTGAACTAATTTGTGCCGTTACAGAAAAGGATTGGACCAATGCACTAAAACTGATGTGAGGAGAATATTGGCCTGGAATGCATGTGGCGGCCATCTTGGAGGGCACTATGAAAATCGCTGCGAAGTATCCTGCTTTGAGACACAGGTGTTAATATCTTTTGATAAAATCTTCCTTCCTCTGAAACTAACTTTAGACCAGTGAGACAGTGGCCCTCCAAAGATGACCGCCATCTAACAGTAAAAAAGAAGACAAAGTCAAGAGAACAATGCCAGCAAATTTCTGAAATCTTTGCAAGTCAAAATGGTTGGCAGCGATGAGCTTGTTAACCCCACTTGACAGGCTGGACAGCATTACTCAGATCAGGAGCACGTACAGACTGTTACTCAATATCTTGATTATGACAAGCTTTGATATTTCATGATTCATATCAAGGAAGAGGTCTTTATGACAAACACACCTGACAAATGTTACAGAAGAGTACAGAAAAAAAAAAAGAAAGACGCGGGCAGGAAATTGCATGAATTTCTCTGAGGGGATAAAGTGCTCAAGTTTTTACACGATGAACACGTGTTGTGATTGAGAGCCCGATTCAGGGTGGTTACCATTCAATATCCCCAACGCAGGATCTGCGGTGGTTCAGCTTACAGCGCTGAATCGGGGTTAAACTGCAAAGTTAGCACAGGGCAGACATCTGAAGGAGTCAAGTGTCCAAATTTGTGGCATTCGATAGCAGCTTGTGGCTCAGTTATCCAAACGCCGGAGTATTATATTCCGCTGACAAAATGGTAAATGCCAGATGGCTCATTGGAACTCACTTTGAAAGATCTTACATTGGTTTCTTTTTTGGGGGAGGGTTTAGGAGATTCTGATTTTAATTATGTGCCTCTCCATTTTTGTGACTGCCTTGTCCATGCCAAGGAAAAATGACACAGCACATTGTGGTGAGATAAATTTGATTGGTTTTTTGCAGATTAAGACTGACATCAAGGCTTAGTGGGTTTAAGGCATAACTTACGACAGGTACATGTAGGGTCCTAAGTCAAGTCTGGCCTGGTTCCAGGTGAGGGGGAAGGAGAGAGGCAGTACTAGTGGGATGGGGAGGAGGGTGCCAGACCCCAAGCTTTATCTCAAATAGGGAAAGTCCAGCTCAGTGCAATTGTTTTCATCAACATGAACAGCACGGTATCTCACAGAAAGCCACAACTTAGAGATTTCTCATTCGGTTCCCATAGCAAATGTTGGAAAATGGTTCTGGAGCCCGAGAGAAAGCCAAAACCTTGAGACAAAGTCAGGATTCATCTGAAAAGGGCATAATGCTCGAATCAAGAGCACCCTGTACACGAGCTAATTTCCAATTTTCGGACTCAAGAAGACCTCATGCTCTTCTGTTTTTGCCATCGCTGCATTGGATTTGAGTTAATGAATCTAAAACTTACAGTGAAAGAGTCTGAACATCATAAATATTTTGGAGCTGCGAAGTGTAAGTACAGTGTACATAAATCTGCTAAGCAGAAGAAATATTCCTTTGCACGAACTAGTAAGGAGGAAAAACGGTATGCCATGAGTAACAAGAGGGAAAGGCTCTCAATTTCTGACTTACCAAATTATCTCAGCAATTTTTTGGTTTAATGCATGTGTAGCTACACAAGATTGGCCACAAACACATCATCTTGGCTTGCACTGTTTCACTTGCCTAAAGTCTGTCTTTCGTCTTGCATGCATTCCTGATGCACGTCCACAACAATGTATGACACACCTTTCAAGTGCAATTCAACACTTGAAGCACGCCCCCCAACACCCACATGTAAGCTTCTCGCTCATAATCACTTCTGATTTCAGAGCATGGTTCTACATTTCAAACCAAGGCCGCCTCGTATATCATATGTCCCATGCACAGTGAACTGAAAATCCAAGCTTCTTTCTCACAATTCCTGCCAAGTGACTGCACTCTGAAAAAAAAAAAAATAGGTTCAACTCCAAGGTTCCAATGCATTTTTCACCCCCTCCCCCATCCCTCCCTTCGACCCCTGACCCCTCCTCAATCATTTCGTTACCTCGATGGCAAGCCTTCCATGGTGGCAGTATCTTCTGAAGTGTCTGCATTCTAATTTAATAACTAATCTTTGGGGACGCTTCCCGATCCATGGCGTGCAAGCACAGGCGTCTGCGCACCCAACCCGACCCATCCAAGCCGTGTGGCAATCCTTGACGTTGACTTTAGAAAGCCTGCTCCAAATTTCCAACTTCCTTTGGCCAAGTGCAGCAGTTGTCCCGACTGACTTCATTGGCTCGCTCCCTCTCTCTCTCTCTCTCTCTTGGCTTTAGGTCTAGGCCATTTTGGCACATGGTGAAAAGTACCAACTGGCTGGGTTACATGAGTAATGCCAGGTGTGGCTAGAGCAGGGGAGAAACGTTTTCGCAAGTCTCTGGTTGGGGACCAAAAGACTTTGGGCTGACTCACTCTGCCGCATGAGCGTCAAGTTGTGATTGATGACCCAGCATGAAGGCAGCTCCCGTCATGTAACCTCCATAGTGGCTGGAAATGTTTTCAACTGCTGTGCTGATTTGCACTGACGTGCAGCAAATAATACAGCCCGACACTGCTCCAAGTGCCCACATGCTGAAAAGAAAAACCTTTCTGAAACTTTTCACTGTCCTGTTATCAAAAAATGTCCTGAGAGTATTGCTACGACCAATGCCTCCAAGATAACTTCTTATTTATTCTATTTTACATTCAACAAATATGTCTGTGTTTCAGAAAATGTTTCCCAAATGCACAGAAAGATCCCCACAAACACCAACGTTTCACCCTTCAAACATACAATTACCAGGTCTTACTGACAGAGCTTTGACACATCTAACAAGAAAGAACCAGCTGGACACCTCTGTCGATGGCTCGACTTTGAGTCTGCTGTGATTTACTCCAGCCTTCTGCACGACAGTTCCAAGAAATACGAGGAGAAGAGACTGAACCTCGCTTGGCAGACCGACTTCTGGTCCTGAGCCAAACCAACATCGGTTTGTGGTTTTGGGCCGCGAATCTCTTTCCACCTACACAACTACTCACTATCTTTTAGACACGGTCAAGACTTCAACTGCAAACAGGTGTCAAGCTTGGCAAGGGGGACAATCCAACTCTTAGAAAGTTTGTGGCTACACCGTGGATTAGATAGATTCCGCACATGATCTGATACCAGAAATCATATTATCCAGACACACTATCAGCTTTTTGGTTGTCAGGCAATGGCAGCAGTAGAATTCAAAACAGCACTATGGGCATCTGATGCAAATCTGTTACAAACAAATGACACATGCATGATCTGTGATTTATCCTGTTCTATTCCAGTAACAGAAAACGTGTAAGAAGGGACAGCTTGATAATTTTCAAAATGTTTCACACGGAAAGTGAGTAACAAACCCATGCTGTGCATAAGCATACAGAACAGGAGTTGAGTATGCCACAACATACAGGTACAGCGCACGAGCTGGTCTGCATCTATGTACTCGCAAAACCTCCTTGTAAAGAGGAGTTCTGCAAAGAACCGGAGTTCGTATACACGGCATATCACATCATTCACTGAAGGTGACTTCACCACTCAACATGACTAATTTACAAGCCAGCTCCATTCTTTTTTTAAAAGCAAAGCATGACAGATAAGTCTGTGACAGTGCAGATCAAGTCTATCCTATGATGCCAGTGGGTGTGCACAAGGACTCCCTCACTGGCGATAAATAGAGAGGCTGAAGGCACAACGGCATGCCATGAGTGCCATGCTCCCAGTGTCAATGCAAATACACCACTGGTATGCACAATTACTCACGTCCACCTTGTGCCAGACACCTGCAAACAAGCCTGCGCATGTGGTGCATTGCCTCGAGGGAGTTAAGGGGATGGAAAGATATGCATGAAACATCCAGCAGACAGATTGTACCAAATGATATACTTGGGACTATTCACCTGGGCTTCTAATAGCTAAAAAGGCATGAGTTCTCTCCCCAGTGGTTATGATTAAGTGAAGGTAGCAATTAGATTTGTGTGCATGGTGGAGAGTACTGTCAAGTCAGTTGTATAACAATTGTGTAATCTATGAAGGGGCAGGGGGGGCTCACAATCTTAAAGGAAGACCTGAACAATTTTTGACATGGCATAGAAACAGTAAACTCTTGATTTATTCTCCTCCACACTCTAACTGAGGAGCAGGAGTTTGTGTCCCTCCCAGTTATGCTGCTGCTGTCTGCCACCCTCAACGACCCCCTTTCCCCCTCCCCCCAAAGTGATGTATGACAGGTCTTGCTCCAGTATCTTTAACACAAAATATGGTTGCTGGCGATACCTTTCTGGACACAAGGCCCGGGCTGGTTTTAATCAAGGCGACAGCCGGGGAGTGCTGGGGCACGGGACAATCCTAGAACAAGTGGGAACAGGTGGAGTAATTTGTTTCCCCCAGTCAGCAGGAAAGAAAAAAAAGAAGAAAAAAAGAAGAGAGAAAGAGAGAGACAGAGAGAGAGAGGGGAAAAAAAAACAGAGCCCGATG